AACCGTTGGGATTATTATTAAAAGTGCAGCTGATTTGTCGCTATTTAACAACATTACAATAAATTGTTAATATTAAAATAAAATATTAATAAGCCACAATAAAATTGACAAATACATACATAGTTTAGGATGAGCCTGCCTAAAACTATACAATAAAGCAAATTAATGTATAGAATTAATAATTAAACTCCTGCGCAATTCCATGTAAACTGCCTAACCAGACATCCGATCGCCGCGCAAATAATTTCCCTCCTTTACTCTCATCGTTCGTGTCAAGTGTGAGTAAGCATAAACCAGTTTCTGCAAGCGTACGTAAACTACCGATCAAGACGCGTAGAGTATTTACTTTGCCTTCCGCAACTACTGCGAGTAATCGAATGCAACTCGGGCCAATATTACGATCGTCTAACACGCAACTATTCAGTTGATCAGAAGTACGCAACAACGCGTTCAGAAGGTGCAATCGCACCAGTTGCTGAGCTGTTGCGCTTTCTGAACGTGCGCAATGAAAATTCGTTTCTCTTGAAATCAGCCCAGCCAGAAAATATCCCGAAACTTATCCGAAAACGGAAACAATTTCGTATAAAAACCTGATGTTTCATCCGTTTTCCGATTCCGTTTTCGGACGTTTTTCAGATCCGAAAATGGAAACAATTTCGTATAAAAACCTGATGTTTCATCCGTTTTTCGATTCCGTTTTCGGACGTTTTTCAGATCAATTCTCCCACTAAAGTGTTCATCCGAAACGTATGTGCAGAAAACTATCGAAAATGGTTGTAAAACGGATACTTTTTCGTCTGTTTTCCTGAAATTTGTCTGATTCAATTTTTCGTTGAAAACGATTTTATTATGAACTTCACAGAAACTTTTTCATAGTTATAGGAAACCAAACAAAAAACAAATTTAAGATTCAGCAATTATTTCGATTAATAAATAATTTTAATGTGTCGCTTCTGACGGAATTCTAACCTGGAACCTCCTGAAAGCTAACAAATAATAGCTCACTTCTCTGCACACTCAGCTACTGGCGAATACGTATACATGTTTTCAAATGCTCAGTTTGAACAAATATTTTAAAATTATTGTTTTGAAATAATTTTCGGATACGAAAAATGAAAAAAATATATGGAAACCATTTTCTGAACGCTTCCGGATACGAAAAATGTACGAAAACTGCACTGCCGACAAAAAGTACGTTTCTCTGCTGGCTGGGAAGTTATATGGCTGCGTATGTATGTATGTACATATGTACATATTTAGAAATTTTTTTATTTGTAAAGGCTCTCAAGAAAAACCAAAAATTCATATANATAAATAAATAAAAACCACGCTGTTACCAACTGCATACCATATTTTTTTAGGAACATTTTGATTAAAAGGTTTGAAGTTTTGATGAAATTTCGATGAGTTTTAATAACTTTTACACAAAGTTTGAAATTTGAACTTGCATTGTTTTTGTTAGGTAATATATATATATATATATATAATTTTATATAATTATAAAATTATCAGCATTGAAGAGACAAAAGAAAATAGCCTAAACTTGTTAAAATCTCGTGCTCCTATTTATTTCTGCACCACGGTATCACTTGCCACAAAATTAAATGAAATACANTTTAGAAACGAGAAATAATACTTTCATAAAAATATAAGTACATACATAGGTTTAAAAAGCTGCTTGAATACAAAAGTTGTATGAAAATGTCACATTAAACAACTGTCTAAATCTACGTTAATTTTTATAAATAAGGCCGTAAACATTTCCTTACATCGTCAGTTTCGATATTCTATTTTTACTCTTTCAATTTCACTGACCAGCGCCGCAAACGATANGAAGAGACAAAAGAAAATAGCCTAAACTTGTTAAAATCTCGTGCTCCTATTTATTTCTGCACCACGGTATCACTTGCCACAAAATTAAATGAAATACAGTTTCACACTCATGTTTATTAATATTTTGTAAATATTTTTTTAGAAGTGTAGCTCATTTTATAACATAAATAATATAAAGGAAAATATCTATAAAACGGTATTTTTTATGAAACAGTTCAATAAAAAGTGATATGTTATTCGTTTTTTATATGACAGAAAACATATTAAAAAACTATTTTACGATTTTAGTTAGAATCCGAAGTGTATGAGTTTCTCTACGCAAAGCACTCACATTTGCGTATGCTTTATATAAATAAATATAAAGTACACACATGTGCCTGTGCTTGGACACACACAAATTAATAAAATAAGTTGCTTAATTTTTAAGAGATTTGGTAAATTTTTTTAACAATTTTGGTAAGCTTTATTTTTTGGCCGCGGCAACACAGGTTGCGTTCCAGATAACTTCGTGTGAAAACCTGTAAAACTGTCAAATAACAAAATTATTCTCTTGAAATAGAGGAGCGAGAGCGAAACAATAAAAGTCACCTGGAACGCGAAAAACCACTTTTCCTGTAACTACTTCCATTTTTTTTAATGTAAAATGCCATGGAGACGATCAAATATCTTTACCAACCGTCTCGCGTTATGCTTGACAAAAAGNAATAATAAAAACCACCAGTCACCGACTAACTCTCGCGCCGTGCAGTTGTGTCTAGCTAGCGTACCACAGTTGAGCGTGTTTGTGTTTCAGTGAGCAATTTAAACGTGTTTAGCGTTTCCCAATCTCAATATATAAATCATAAATTTATCCCCCCGTAAGTGTTAACCAAATNGCAATCACACATATGCAATGCTTGGTATATTTATTTGATTGTGTCCCTTGGCCCTTGGTTCTGTTTTTGTTTACAAATGCAACCCGGCCTATAGTTTGACACTTTCATGAACTTGCAGGAAGAAAAACTTCAGACTAAAACCTACAACTTCTGACTGAGAGAGAGAGCAAGTTACTCTTACAAAAGTGGTTTAACTTACAGGCTAACCTAATATTCACGCACGCCGCCAATTTATTGTCAAAAATTTCTCATGCACATGCAACTTGTATGAGATCAACCGAAATTGAACGGCGTGCGTATGAAGCTAACTCAATTTCCAATTTTTGTTCTGCGTGACATTTTGATTTGACGTTTCGCTCAATGAAATCAAATGCAAACGCATGCAAGTCAATTTCGGGTGACGCAAAAAAACAAATTCGACGGCATGCGTACCAAAACGCAAGCCGCGAATATTAGGTTAGCCTGTAACAGGGTTTTTGGCACCTGGCACGCTTTCCTGCAAATCGTGAATATCGTGAATATCGCGAGCACCTGGAACGTAACTATTATAAACTGTGGTTGCTTTTTCCAATTTTTTCATGTGAGCCAACTAAATACAATCAAGGGCACATTGCATCCACAATATTTTTTCATTAAAATCGGCCTCAAGCTCAATAAAATTGTTGATTATGCATAAATATACATATGTACATGTGAATGTAGTATACATAGTATATCGAGGGCTTATATTCAATACCCTTTAACTGTATGTTTCACAAAAAGTGCAATGTGATGTTAGAACCCATCTGGTACTTACCTGTCGTCACTGATGTTAATTCTGACTTTGCAATTGGATAGTAATCTTCTGTTAGGCGTTATACAAGGTCAGCATTAATATCACCGATGGTAGTTAAATCTTAGGTGGATTTTTATATCACAATCGAAAGGTGTTTATGTATTTTATTTGTCGAAAAACACTCTTTCGTAGAAATGGTATAGAGTTCTTGAAAATCAATATTTTTCTATCGGAAACCTCTCGTTCTCTGCAGGAGACTTCCAGTAATAATATCCAATGGTTTATTTAACCATTTTTTAATACTAAAGATTATTTATTGGTCCCCCGATTGTATTTTCTGGGGTTTTTGGCGAACCTATAAATAATATTTACCCAGGTATACATGGCGTCTATGTAACATTCTATGCTGCTCATATTTCATACAAAAAATCCTTGCGCATTTTTATTTCACCACTGATTCCTTTCTTATTTGTTCATCGATTTTCTTCCTTGAAAGCTTAATTTTTTAATGAAACTATCAGTCTAATGAAAGTGATGTGTATAAGGGTTATGAAGAATTTTGTTAGCTTTCATTTGCCGTACTTCATATTAAAATTGTTAGATTTGTTCGTAAGATATACGTGATTAACTCGAATCACTTTTTTCAGCTGAACAATGGCAAATTGCAAGTATGTATCTCGAAAACTTATTAATAAAAGAAATATATTGATTTTCGGACTCAACGAGCGATTCTGCGTAGGAAATGGATAGTGTCATACGGTGAACAAAAAATAAAAATAAAAAAATTTGTGATCCAGGGCTATTATTTTGCTTAACTAAAGTGCATATTATACATAAATATATAGTATGTATATTATACACAGTATATCGACCCCTTTGTGCAAAATTATCGTATGTTACAAAAACCAAATTTTACAAGAAAGTATTTTTTGTATTTTTCTCTGCTTTGGCTAGCACCAGCAATACCAAAGTTTAGATTTGCTGAGATAATTGAGAAATATAACTAAACGCAAGATTTTTTTTGTAGAAAGGTCTCTACATTATAATTTCTTAGCCCATATGATAATTTCGCCTACAAGAAAAAAAAATCATAGTCATATATGTACGATAAAATTTACAGTAAATTTTTGGGTGATACGTTATGGGTTGTAAAACAAAGTTGCATCAAAAAGTGAATTTCGTAAAAAATGTAACATACGATAATTTTGCGCAAAGGGGTCGATATGTACATATCGTCATCTGAAAAGCAAAAAGCCGTAACAACATCGTAAATGAAATGGAAAAAGTCGAGCCTAATATTTTAATTTTTTTCATAAAATGGTGCGGGGAGTTGTAATTCGATGAAATCGATCATATAAATCAAAAAGTGAATTTTGAATTTTTTATTAGATATGACTTTTCGCATTTTATCGATAATCATTTGTTACGTCTTTTTGCATTTCAGGTAACGATATATGTATGTAAACGTACACAGATATGTATATTTACATAATTATTATTTTTTTGTTTTACCAAAGATGTGCCACTTCCACCTGCCCACAAACTTACAATGGACGAAGTGTTCGATGCAAAGACGGGGAAGCCGAACTATGAAACAATGCGGGCACACTTCTTGCTCGAAGGGCGCATGGAGGAGGGTCCAGCGCTGCGCATCATAAATGAAGGAGCTACCTTATTGCGAGCGGAAAAAAATATGATTGATGTGGAGGCACCGGTGACAGTGTGCGGCGACATTCACGGTCAGTTTTTTGATCTAGTCAAATTATTCGAAGTTGGCGGGCCACCAGCTTCCACGCGGTATCTTTTTTTGGGTGACTATGTGGACAGAGGATATTTCAGCATTGAGGTATGTATGTACGCAAGTGCACATGTGCATACAAACACATACAGTTTTATACCATGCAAGTACACTGAGGTTGTTTATGTTAAAAAATACTGTTTTTAAACATTTTAACGATCATCTGAATACGCCGTCTCTCAATTTGACCTCCATATCTTCAGTGTGTGCTTTACTTGTGGGCGTTAAAGATTTGCTACCCGACGACACTGTCTTTGTTGCGCGGCAATCATGAATGCCGCCATCTAACAGAATATTTCACTTTTAAACAGGAATGTATGAGCATTATTTATGCCCTTAATGTATTTTGTTGTTATTCACTAATCTTTTTTGTTATTGTTTGAAGGCAAAATAAAATATTCTGAAGATGTTTATGATGCCTGTATGGAAGCATTTGACTGTTTGCCATTGGCGGCGCTGCTAAACCAACAGTTCCTCTGCATTCACGGTGGACTATCCCCTGAGATTTTCACTTTAGATGATATAAAAAAGGTAATTCGACCAAGCGTTTTATTATATTTTTAAAATTTTTTCCGAATTATTTCAGCTTTCATATTCGTAAAATTGTGTTGGTATTTATTTATTGGCAAATAATTATGAAAATCCACATAAGCGGTATATGGCGTAAATTATACTTATACACGCATATGTACATACAAATGTATGTATGATTTGTCTGGCCAATTTTCATCTTGAGGCGAAAAATATATGTATATGTATACTATACCATGATATTCTTTATTTTTTGAACTTCCACGATTTAAAGATTCGGATATGAAAGACATCAAAAGAGGCACAACTCAAAAATAAGATCCGGAAATACATCGTCACCTAAGGGTGAAAAGGTGTCAAGTCCATTTTTTGCAATTGTTCAGTAAAGACGAAAAATCGATGAAGTTTCGTATAACCTGCCATCTGCATCAAAACCTAAATTTGTTCACCTTTAGGTGGCGATATGTAACTGCTTGTGGATCGTAAAGAATCAACGCAATTGATTCAGAAGCAGGTACGATTGGAGTTTTCGAGTTAGAAAATATAATATTTTCATTAATTTGAGAAAAATCCTACGAATTTATTTATGCAAAAAAAAATCGACCGAAATTTGTTTTGAGTTGTGTGTCTATTGAAGACGGTGCCCGATATGTTAAAGCTACTTTTCTGATAGATTTTAATATATGGTACACACGATTACATACGAAAAAGCAGCATACATATGGCTCATTCCATGGTGACGACTGTGACATTTCAACTCACCTTTTAAAGCTTAATTCTTAAACTGTAATATAAAATTGTTTAAAACGAGCATTTTCTAATAGGTTTCCGAGGTATACATAATGTCTAGAAAAAAAAATTTCAAAAACAATTTAATCCAAATGAGTCATATGAATTTTAGTCACTGTGACGGGTGTGACAAACCTAATTACGCAAACCTAATTATGTACGGAGTGAAATGGTTTATAGTCGTTGCGCTGGGTATGCAGTTACAGTTGCATGGCTATACTCAATCCCGACTCTTGCGTCCTCGTTTGCGCACTCTGCGCAACGTGAGCAACCCATGTGCGAGATGCGGTAACCAATCCGAGTGGAGCCTTGGGTCCCGGCAGAAAGAGAGGGAGCTTCGGTGGGGCCACTCCGACTTATTCGGTTTAAGGGCTCACTGAAGTCTGCAGCGTCTGTTCACCAGTAGGTGCGGCTGCAAGTGGGTGTCTNATATAGCTGCCATGTGAAGGAACGCAAATTCGGAGTTGGATCTGTGGTGGGAGAGAGACTCCGTCGCCGTGTACTGTCGTTCACCCCGGTGGACAAACGTCTAGCCACAATCCGCATCAAAGCGACTTCTTCAACATCTCGCTTATCGGCGCCCATGCCCCGATGGAAGAGAAGGATGAGGTATCCAAGGATCTCTTCTATGAGCGCTTGGAGCGCACGTATGAGCGCTGCCCCCGTCATTATATCAAAATCGTGCTTGGTGACTTCAATTCCAGGGTGGGCAAGAAAGGGATCTTTGGAACCACCGTCGGAAAATTCAGCCTCCACGACGAAACGTCCGACAACGGATTGAGGCTGATCGACTTCGCCAGTGCCCGAGACATGGTAGTATGCAGTACTAGGTTCAAGCATAAAAAGATCCATCAAGCTACGTGGCTGTCTCCGGATCGAAAAACGAGAAACCAAATCGATCAAGTTGTGATAGACGGAAGGCACGCTTCCAGTGTTTAAGACGTACGCACACTCCGAGGCCCAAAAATCGACTCGGACCACTATATTGTTGCAGCCAAGATACGCACCCGCCGCAAAAAGTGTGCGCCCAAATATGCAAGGAAAGCTTAACGTCGAAAAGCTGCAATCACAACAAACAGCCAGCGCTTTCGCTACTCGACTCTTACACCTGCTCTCAGAGAGCACTCTTCAACAAACCGACATATGCCAGCAGTGGAACCACATTTCCCGCTCATTGAGTACCGCCGCCGAAGAAGTAGTCGGATTTCAGCGAGCCCGAAAGAACAACTGGTACGATGAGGAGTGTCAGGAAGCTGCAGAGAAAAAATATGCCGCCTACAGGGCCACTCTGAGATCGGGCGCAACGCGCGCTATTTGGGACCGCTATAGGGATCTGAAGTGGGAAGCGAGACGTATTTGCCGCAATAAGAAGAGAGAGGCCGAAATAGGTGAGTGAGAAGAACTTGAAATGCTAGCAGACAGGAAGAATGCCCGAAAATTTTACCAGAGAGTTAGGCGACTTACGGAAGGTTTAAAGACCGGGGCGTACTTTTGTAAGAATAACAATGGCGACCTAGTAACTGATGTCCAGAGCGTACTTAAATTATGGAGGGAACACTTTTCCGTCCTACTAAATGGTAGCATGATGACGGAGTCGACGTTCCACCGCCTGACTATGACGAGGTACGTAAAGCAATAACGCGGCTGATAAACAACAAAGCCGCTGGAGCTGACAACCTGCCAGCTGAGTACGGCGGCGAGGAGTTGATAAGGTGCATGCATCAACTCTTGTGCAGAATATGATCAGATGAACGCATGCCTGACGACTGGAATTTAAGTGTGCTCTGCCCAATCCACAAGAAAGGTGACCCCGCCATTCGCGCCAACTACCGCGGGATCAGCCTCCTAAGCATAGGTTACAAGGTCTTATCGAGCGTATTGTGTGAAAGATTGAAGCCCAATGTCAGTGAACTGATTAGGCCTTATCAGTGTGGCTTTAGACCTGGCAAATCCACCATAGACCAGGTATTCACAATACGCCAAATCTTGGAAAAGACCCGCGAGAAAAGGATCGACACCACCACCTATTTGTCGACTTTAAAGCCGCTTTTGACAGCACTAAAAGGAGTTGCCTATACACCGCTCTGTCTGAATTTTTCATCCCCTCAAAACTCATAAGACCTCCCCGAGCCGTTCGCCACAAAACGGGGTTTCAGACAGGGCGACTCCCTTTCATGCGACTTCTTTAATCTGATTTTGGAGAAGATAATAAGAGCTGCAGAACTGAACCGCTCAGGAACAATTTACTAGAAGAGCGTGCAATTGCTGGCGTATGCCGATGACATCGACATCATCGGTAACAAAAACCGCGAAGTCTGTTCTGCCTTTTCCAAGTTGGATAGGGAAGCAAAGCGAATGGGTCTGGTGGTAAACGAGGACAAGACGAAGTATCTCCTGTCATCAAGCAAACAGTCAGCACATTCGCGTCTTGGCACCCACGTCACTGTTGACAGTTACAATTTCGAGAAAATAGAGAAGTTCGTTTACTTGGGAACCAGCATTAACACCGATAATAATGTCAGCATTGAAATCCAACGCAGAATCGCTCTTGCCAACAAGTGCTACTTTGGACTGGGTTGGCAATTCAGGAGTAAAGTCCTCTCTCGACGTACGAAAACCACGCTCTATAAGTCACTTATCATGCCTGTGCTGGTATATGGCGCAGAAGCATGGACAATGACAACATCCGATGGGGCGGCTCTTGGAGTGTTTGAGAGAAAGATTTTGCGGAAGATTTACGGGCCTTTACGCGTTGGCGACGGCGAGTACCGCAGACGATGGAACGATGAGCTGTATGAGCTTTACAACGATATGGACATAGTGTAGCGAATTAAAATACAGCGGCTCCGCTGGCTTGGTCATGTCGTTTGAATGGACACCGACGCTCCAGCTCTGAAAGTATTCAACTCGGAGCCCGCTGGTGGTAGCAGAGGAAGAGGGAGGCCCCCACTGCAATGGAAAGATGAGGTGGAGAACGACTTGGCTTCACTTGGCGTCTGTTGGCACAGAGGAGAAACGACTGGCGTGCTTTGCTGAACTCGGCCAAAATCGCTTAGGCGGTTACAGCGGCAAAAAAGGAGAAGAAGTAGAAGTAGAATAAGAATTACGTACTACTTAGTTGTATCACAGTTTTTCTGCTAATTATGTCTTCTTCATATGGTTTTAAATAGTTCGTTGTTTATTTCAAATTCAAATTTGACCTGTGACAAGTTGAGCATGAATACACAAATACACATTATAGACAACTAAACTAACTTTATTTCTAAAAAAATCGGATTTTACAAATACATAAAATATTCTGCCACCTAAAGACGGGATAATCCTTGATCGCACTCTTCATCTCCACTGTCTGGCTGAGTCATTGTAAAGTACGTTATTTTTAAATAGTAGGTACTACACTTTTCATGAGGCTGTTACCTGTCAAAACGTATGAGATACTGTTTCTTACACTGACAATTGAAGTAATGATTTCTTTGCATCCCTGACAGCATAGCTTAGTTTTCCCATCGCTCGAGCAACATTTCTTTATGATTAGCATTATCATCGGTTATCACAAACAGATATATGATACATTTCATATTAGCAGATAAGTAAGGGTAGCAGTTACTGGCCGAATTTATTAAAATTTGTCAAACTTTGAATTGTGACGGGCGTGACCAACATACTAACATACATACTTTCTAAAAAGCATTTTTTTCTAAAAGCATATAAATACTTAAAAGCAATTCGCACATATTCGCCTGTGTCATAGCGTTACTTTCGTCAGCTTTTTTACACTGTTCAAGATATGTTTTCCTTAAAAAAATAACTATTTTGTGATGGGCAGGACATTAAAATATTCACAAACAGATATATGATACATTTCATATTAGCAGATAAGTAAGGGTAGTAGTTACTGGCCGAATTTATTAAAATTTGTCAAACTTTGAATTGTGACGGGCGTGAGCAACATACTAACATACATACTTTCTAAAAAGCATTTTTTTCTAAAAGCATATAAATACTTAAAAGCAATTCGCACATATTTGCCTGTGTCATAGCGTTACTTTCGTCAGCTTTTTTACACTGTTCAACAATGCTGACGAATTGTTCTCTCCGTTGACCGTTTAAACAATGCCGTTTAAACAATGCAAAACGAAAATCTGTCTTGTCATTTTTGAAGAAAATTACCCTCCCATATGAGTTTGTAAACAAGTAATTTTTAGCAAAAA